TGGTAAGCCAACATCATGCATGTTACATCAAGTTGTAAATGAGTTTTGTGGTTGTATACGCAATATTTCTACCTATGAAACGTGACGTTGTAAATTATTATTACGATTAAGTTAGTATGTTTAAAGTTGTATTTTTTTCATATGGACGTTTATTCTTTTTTCTCTATATTATTCGTGAAATATAATGAGCACAGACCCAATTTTCTTCCGGTTCCCCGCGTATTATACTTCCGCCGAACTTTTAGCTCCTGAACTACGAGTAGCACTGCTCAAATTAATTAATTTTGATATTCAGATATTTAGTATTTAATATTAATATTCAAACAATCAATATTTAAACTATAATAATACTGTTAAGGTTAAGATGTTATCACAGTGCCATAAGTGCAGACACAGACAGAGTTTACTTCATCAAATCTTTAAAAAAGTGCGTATTAGAACGAAGTCTGTAATTGAATGCATTACTATTCTTATCTTTAATAATATAAAATTTATATAATTTCTTTTTAAAGTTTTTATTTAAATTTTCATCTCTGTTTTTATTATTTCCATCACATCCAATATTGATTGTTCGTACCATATGTATGCAGATGACCTACTAATTTACGTACAGTTTGACATTTGTGACACTCACAATGCGATTGAAAAATTAAATTCTAATTTCAAGTCAGTATATGATTGGTCCATGCGCTTCGGAGTGTCAGTCACCCCTACGAAAGGCCAAGCGATGATTATAAGTAGCTCAACGAGGCTTGCAAAAATTGATACAGCGGGGCTACCTTCCGTCTATTATAATGATCGCTTGGTACCGTTCTCGTTTTCAGTTTAAAATCTTTATCTCCATATATTGATATCACTGAAACATGTCGAAAATCTCTGGTCCTTTACGTTCCCTTTATCGCTTAAAAATTTTCTTCCCTTTAAGACTAAAACTGCTTGTACAATCACTTATACTACCGATTATTGATTATGCAGACGTAAGTTACCCGGATTTAAGCCAAAATCTTCTTCACAAGCTAGAGCGCAATTTAGTAAATATGATCATATCTATCTATGTGCGGTACCATCCAAGTAAAAGTAAAGTTAAAATTTCATACCTATTATGGTCAAAGGAGCGTGAGGTGGTCAATTTTGAATGGCATGGCTGCATTCTACTCAAGATGGTCCTTGACATAAGGCGATAACAATATTAAAGCAGCAATAACAATGCTTAGTATCTTTGTTTCGCATGTGGTTTATCCCATATTTATCCCATCTCAGCGGATAAATTAACACCTGTTGCGGACGCTCGTAATATGCATTCATGTCAAATTACAATATGCATTTAAGTAGTTATAAATTGCCTATCTGTATGGTAATCAAATATTATAAAACTGTATAATTGAAATTCACCTTCCTACTGGGGTTGCCATCGGTGATAGGGCTTTTACTAGTTTTATAATTTTTAACCGACTTCCAAAAAAGGAGTGGGCTATATTATGTTCGACTGTATGCATTTTTTATGTATGTTCACCGATTTCTCCACCAATTGTGGACCGATTTTCAAAACTCTTTTTTTTTATTCGAAAACTTACACTCTTAAGGTGGTCCCATTGTCACCAAGTCAGAATCTGATGATGGGATCCCAGGGAAATCGAGGGTAACCCTCAAATTTTATAGGCACATATAATGTTTTTCATGTACTTTCTAACGCATCTTTTTGTGCCTAGTAATCATCATCTCACGTTGCTGAGATGATAATGGAAGGTATAAGTTAGGATCTGATGATAGGATCCCAAAAAATTTAAGGGCAATCCACAAATATTATAGGCATTGTTTGAAACAACATACTTCTCATGTGTTCCCATGGTCATCATGTCAGGATCTGAACAGAATTATTCACCAAGCAGTAGAATGCGAACATTAGTTACGTATTATTCCACTAAAGTTCGCTAAAGTTCATTTCAAATAATACTAAACGTCAACTCACTGAATTGTTACTTCGTTGTCTTATTAATTTCTCTGTTCTGTGCCGCCTGTAAATCACATCACTATGATATCGATAAAAACTTCGACAGTTGTCACTTTGCTAATTATTTAGACTAATAGGTACTTATTAGTCTAACCATCCCTCACCTCAGGTCTTGCCCCGTAGAGTGCGATAGGGACAACTGCAGCTCGGAACGATTTTACCTACAAAAACCATGACCAATCGACAATTCGTATTCCCCTGTTTTCTCCTCGAAAACTAAGCCGATTAAATTATTTTTGGTATCAAAATTTAAAGGAAGAATATATCTATGCTCCTATTACTTGTTTTTATCTTAAAAACAAATTTGTTTGGTAGTCGTCTGATTACGGAGGTAAAAACGGGGTATTTTTTTAGGTTTTTGGAAAGTCATATTTATTTTTGTAATATTTTTTTGGAAAAAAATAAATGACATGCCTTCAATAGACCTAGATATTTATAAACAAATCCAATTACTCTAAAGGCATTATCCAGGAAGAGAATAGGGGAATACATTTGTATGGAAAAAATGCAGCCCGTCTACGCTCTTAAGTAGCATCTACCTAATTACAACTTAACAATAATAAAGAACTGCAGTTGCCAAATCGCCTGCCAATCATAGCAACAATGGTGGATATCTCCTCTTTGAAGCAATAAATGGTGGAAATCTATGTTCAGCAATCGACTTTTGATAGGCTGTAGTGATTAAAAAAAACTGTATTGTTTCTTATTAGCTATGAAGTAAACAAGTTTTCTCTCTTATTATTCTTATTTTTATACTTTTCTATTAGCATTAACGATTTTAGCAGACACAAGTAACCTCGCTGTATTATTTGTGACTGTTGTTAGTGCTGTCTGGCCTTAATACTTCAAATAACTCACTAACAACACCGCCTGCTCTAAACAATGTCGGATGTGTTACCGCTTCAACGAAATATTTATAAGTGCGCTGAATTCAAAAAAATCAGGGGATATTTGCCCATAATTGCTACACTTGGTGGTTAGGTTAGCAACCGCAGATTTGTTAAATAATTTTTGAGTGGTTATCAGAATGGTTCTTTGGACAATCTCCAGATTCATTTCCCTCTGTCGCTTCTTACAGGCGACTAATCATTTGCCTACTACAGGGGCAATCTAGGATGAACAGCAATCGGGGCAATATAGGATCTGTCTCTACACACATGCCTGTCGTTCAATTCGGAGTGTATGTCTCACATAGAGTGTACGACACACTAGTTGAGAATGGCGCCAGTTTTATCGAAATATCTATGAATCGTTATATATAGCCTTGGCTATTTTTTTATATAGAATAAAGATAAAGGTGACAAATGAGCACAGTCCACCTGATGGTAAGTGGATACTGTGGCCCATTTATCCACATTTATTGATTAAACAACTAAATAATTAATAATTACAACCATAATATAGTCCTTAAAAGCATGGCTATACCACGTTTAAAAACGTTACAACGTTCTTTCTGCGGTGCTACCGCAGATTTAGAAAATTGCCACTGCTTGCATACACACATCACAATTAAGGAGAAAATAAAGGGTTATCTCCACTTCTACACCCTAGATTGCTCCTGCGGCAGGCAAGTGAGTAGCCGTCTTACGACAACCACGGCATGATATGAGGTAGTAGATTATGTAGCGGATTGATCTTTAACAGAAAAAAATATATAATTTTACCATATTTTATTCTAATAATCTATTAATAGCTTCCATGCAATTAAACTCAGATATAAATTAATATTTACTGCTATTTCTACAGTCTAACAGATAAAAAATGAGATATTAATTTAGAATAATAGAAAATATAAATGTTATCATTAAAATATCTGATAATATTGAACAATACTATTGATTTCTTTAGGCTATCACATAAAGAATATACCGAAATAAAATTGGTTGATCACAACAACCAATTCAATAGATCCATAATGCCATAAGAGGTACTGGCAGACGCATAAAATTATAATAATCAGTACAGACCGACAATTTAAAGCAATAGAACGTTTTAAACCCACACACTGTTCTTCGGGTCTTACTATGCATATTTTATTGTCATTTTCTGATTAAGGCTTATACATATTAAAATTTTATAACTACATGCTTCATACAATCCAGAAAATATTAATGGATGAGGAACGATATTTTTTTAAATACTGCCAATACCATTAACATTAATAAAATTCGCGCTAACCACTCCAGTTCACAAAAATAGTCATCGAATAACGGATTAGAGCTCACGTACTTTTGTATTCGCGGCCCACACCCTACCATTAGGCTACTGTCCTTTTTAAATAATTCGAAAGGCTTTTTGATAGCCATTTAAAGATGGCTGCCACATGCGTCATACTTACATTTGTACAACATTTGTTAACAACCGTGTTAGGCAAGATGACTCTCTACGATTATTACCTCAATATAAAACTATGAAAATGAATGGGAATGACATTTTTTTTCGACTTGACGTTCAAAAATGTCATTCACCTTAGCGTTCATTTAATACATTTTTATAGTTTGTATATCTTTAACGATCGTAGAACGTTATTATGGCTAACCCCGCTGGCATTATAAAATTGTTACATATTACTAAACATAGTACCTTTGTTTGACGATTGAAATTTTAATTTATTCCTTCAAAAAATTTAAACACCATTACAATGAATTAATTTAATAATTAATTAGGCCAAATAATTTAGAACAAAACCCCTTCTTGTCGTGACGGACAAACCTGTAAAACATATTACTGTTAAGCACTAGAGTAAAACCACAGCTTTACTTGCGTAGAATTGGAATGACCAAATTGAAGTTTTAGTTAGTAAATTAGTTACGTGATATGGACACTAAACATAAACCTTTTATCTCAATCTTAATACCACATATTATGTTCAGTTAAGATAAAAACAGACTATATGATTTTATTAATTTGATCTTGCTATTTTGTTTTATTAAATGTTAAAAACTTTATTTAAGCAAGGAACTATACTAAATAATTGATTTTAACTTACCGACGGTGCAGTTAATAGCTGCAACGCTTCGCTCAGATGTTTCAGCGTTAGCGTGTTTCTCTCCCCTTCCTCTTCATCCGGTCCCGGAAGATGAATAGACGACTGACGGGACCTAAACTCCGGCTTCTTACTACCGGAACTGCCGCCATTCGCGAACTGGAGTTGAGACGAGGCGCGGCGAAATGGGCAAGTCATATTCAAATATATTACTTCGTTTCCCTATTGTTTTAGATATGGCGGTAAATGACTATCATGTCATTATAATTTGTTTCCTTTACATTGTCCATCAGCAGTAAAATAAAAAATCGACTAGGATGACATCAACCAAATCTGTAACAAATATAAGTAAGTTAAGATAGGACTTTCGGAACTTTTTAAAGAATTAAAAGTAACAGAAATTTATTGATCCATTGCTGGTCACAGACTTACAATCTATACTGAAAGGGTAATGGAGCCGAACGAATCCGTTACGATGTTGCGTTTTTTCATTTTATACAAAGCCTGTAAGGAATGGTGTGAAGCTAATCACATATGGTTTGGAATATAAATTTCTCATTGACGTCTTCCAAACTATACACTAGAATTATTCAATAATTGCGTATATTTTCGACTGGTCTACGTAAAAAGGCTGCTTCCGTAATACACTACGCCAGTATATAATGTGAGCTAATATCATACAATTTGGAGTATTTTTTCATTGATTTCAAAGTCTAAGCAAACAAGAATAAAAAAAGTTGTAATGACCTGTATATAATTGTCCGGAAATACGTCTGCCATCCAATATACCTATAATAAATTTATAGGTGCAGCTGGACGCAAATGGCAATCATCATCATCATCATTACAGCCCTTCACAAGTCCACTGCTGAACATAGGCCTCCCCCAAAGAATGCCACAAATGGCAAGTACTTTATGAAATATATAAATGTATGTTGCACCCTAACATATACAGGGTTATTTTGCAATAACCGTCCAAATTTGCAGGGAAGGTTCAGGATAACTAGTATAGGTAAAAAAACGTGTGTGTACCTACTTATGTACGCACTTAGGAAGTTACACTTCTTCAGCGTACCAAAACAAAAATAACTAAAAATAATACCTTAAATATAATTATCAGTTCCCACGAAAACTTTGAAGAGAGAGAGTTACTCAATGAAGTTGTCACTTTGAGGTGTCAGTGTGCACGCGCATCATAACAACTTCATGGTGTCGTTTCTAGCTTTCGGTGTGCGCGCGTTTTGTAAAAAATTCACTCTCATAATTTTTCCCAAACGCCCTAAAAGAAGTATTACTTCAAAATGAAGAAAAATTAATAAAATAAATTTCAAACATTCTGTCCTTTTTATCTTTTAAATTCAAAGTGCGTTGTAATGTATAATTTTAACAGAATTTACTGCACACGCACACATTTGTAAGAGTCGATCGGTAGGCAAAAACATTGTTACCCATAAATCACATTAAATTTGGGATAATTCCAAATAAAAGTAGAAGCCTTATTTACTCATATTTCAAAAACTGCAATAAAGGTATAGCATTATTTATATATTTGAACTTAAACTTAAAATTTAGCTACTCTTTGAAAAATAACCCTGTATAATAACTATTTCTTATGTATATTTTTATGAACCCATCAAGTGCAAGTGGCACTGTACAGTTCGAAACTTATAGTTTCGTGCGCATTCATTACAAACTATACGCGACTAGTACGCAAAGTTCGTGTATATTTTGTAATCACAGATGTGAATAATAGCATTCCAAATTATACACGAGAAGTGTTATAGCTGCGTACTGGCTTTCTATAGAAACGAAACACGCTACGCTTCTAAACAACGTGTTAGTAAACTTTACAGATATTCAAAATACATTCTATTTTTGAAAAAGCGGGCTTTATCCCAATATGTTTCTTCAGCAACTTGTAGATAGTATATGTATTATAGTGTACGTATATTATATAATGTATGTGCTTGCACTTCAAAGCGTCTAGCACTCAAACTATGTAGGATTACGTAATATTGGTAAGTTGATATGTGTCAAATTAAAGCAAATATGCTACAAGTTAATATCGAAGTTACCAACTTCTATATTAATACTTTGATATTAATTAAAAACATTTATTTACATACATAATATACAATTTTTTATTGTATACAATATTAAAAACTGTAATTAAAAAAAAAACTAAAACTAGTATCTTAATTATCATACAGTTACATTAATTTGTGGAACAATAAGAATTTGACTCAAAATGCAATTAAGTAACTTATTATATAGAGCAGGAAAGAAAATTAGAAATTCCAGCCATCTTTTTCGCAGTATTTTTTATATGCAAATTTCATTCACCATCATCCATTGCAGCCCCTTTAATTGGGAAAGGTCCATGTCCCCTGCTGCACATGGAACCGCTCCAAAGCTTGAATAGGAGATTTCTTTAAGATATCTGCCTTTAGTTATCGCAAAAATAGTAAAAATCTGGCTACTAACTACATAGTTCATAATACGTCTTATTGTAGAAAAGAGTATAAAATTAGTCTCAGGTTTAAAATAGATATTCGAACTAAAACGTAAAGTAAGAAATTTGATACTAAATGTTAAATACTGCGAAGACTGCGGCGCCGCCACAAAGGGACTACTTTCGTAGATTAGACTTTTCTTTAAAGGAGACTATCAATAAAACAAGTTTTGTAATAAAACTGAATATACCCATTTGTGTAAAGATGTGATTACATATTATGGACTAAGATGTTATACTTTGAAAGTACGTTGTCAAATTAGATCAATATTACAACACATCTGTCTGTAGCGTTGTAGCTCATATATTTAACAAGAGAAAAGTACATCACACAAGGTAAATGTTTGTTTGCTCTCTAGCAAACATCGTAAGCGTTGATTAAACAGATGAATTAACACGTAAGACGAATAATTCCCATGGGATAAAGTTTCCGCCGAACTAAACTATTTCGCAGCAAAATGTTTATATTTACAGAAAGTATATTTAGCACTAAGATATTAAATAAATCAGTTTATTACACACCTTTACTTTCGATACATCTGATTTTATACGTAAAGTGAAGATACTAAAAATGTATGATAACATTCATATTATGCTCGGCTTAAAACGATCTTTTTAATATTTTTAAATGCAAAAGATATTAAAACAGCTTTATGATGATTAAATGTAATTTTAAACTTATATATTAATATCATTTTTATTCTTCGATTAAAGTATAAGATTATTCTAGTATAATTTATAATGTATAAAAACTTATTCTAATATAATTTTTACTCAAATTAATCACAGCAATGTTTGTTAACTAAAATACCTTTATCATCATTATAATCTATCTAAGTCCATTACTGAACATATCGTTTTCCTAATAAATAAATATATAAAAAAACGTCACTGACGCCGCCGTGACAAAGAATAATAAAGAAATATGGAGTAAAATTATTAAAAAAAATTTAAAAGAACACGCAATACACTACTCACACAGGCAACGAAGTTTACGCGCACACAGACACAAGGAAGTCGAGAGCGATGGCGTAGAGGCATGACGGCATAAGAGACCGTCACGCCGTTTGCTGTAACGGCATATGAGTCGGTGTTACTGCCAAGGTGCGCCAATAGATATTTCACGTCAATAAAAATATTTTAAAAAGACATTTCATTAATCGGTTGTGTTTTTTGCTGTTTTAAATATAATATGCTCTGGAGAATTACTAATTATAAGTCGTAACGTCTATTAAAGTTCATAGAGAAATAATAGGTCGTCAAGTTTACGTTCAATAATCTTATTATTTAAGTATTTAATCGTCACATTGGGACTCTGCACTATAAGTTGAAACGAAGATTGATCAACCTATAGATTTGCTTTCGGCATATTATGAATGTCTTATTCTCTCTCTCTCTCTCTCTTTCTCTAACTCTTACTAAATTTTTACGTGGTAGACCCATGCTGCAGCTATATTACCGGTATAGTTGCAGCACGATTGGGTTGGATTGACCGGGAAGGACCACGCTCTCATAGAATACCAGCGTAAAATAGCAGCTTAACGATGCTATGTTTCGTATGGTGAGTGTAGAGAACCGGAGACCCTTTTTACTGGAAACGAGGCATTCCATCTTAGTCCTCACTGGGGACAACGCATCTGCATTTTGATTCTTTATTGAGGACAGATGTAGATGTCTATGGGCTACAGCAACCACTTAACATCAGGTGGACTGTGTGCTCTTTTGTTACCCATATCATATTAAGAAAACCCTCTCTAACGTTTCTTCATAGTATGTCTTACATACTGACGTCGCATTAAAAATCGACCAGAAAAACATATTCATCTTATAGGTTTAACTTGATATGCTAGACGCGGAGTAGGATACGATACTAATAAAAAAGTAATATTAGTAATAACTGTCTAAACTTAAATAAAATGTATACATACCGTCTTCAAAAAGCAACGCAAAGTCGTCTTAATAGATACATTTCTTCAGAAAATCGTTCCCTATTTATCCACATATATGTATGGATTATTTAAGTTTACATCGAACTACCCATAAATATACTTCTGTTTTAACTAACTTCAAAAAGGATGAGGTTTTCAATTCAAGTGTATGTTTTTTTATTGTATGTATGTTACGCGATATCTTCGCAGATTGTGAACCAAATTTAATGATTTTTTTAAATAAATAGGCTTTACTTCAAGAGTGGTTTTTTTGAAGGAAATATTCTGGCCCCAACGGTAAATAATAGGGAAAAAAGTATTATATTGGACTATTGTTTAAGGATTTTCCTATGATATCTTCGCATATTGATGATTCCTTTTTTAATAAATAGCTTAAACTTCAAGGGTGGTCCCATATAAATTTGGAGAAAAATTACACCCTCAAGGGTAGCAAATAAATAACTTCTTTTTTAGCAATTGAGGGTCGGTTTTTACTTTTTGTTAAAAGTTATAATTATTATAAATTGATTTAGCCGTTTTCGAGAAATTAAACATAAAACATGGGTCGAATATACCTATCTCGTTTTTGTACATTCGCCTAAAAGTATTCTAATCACTTACATAGATATGTAGGTTATTTTTTTATGTTTGTTTCATTACTTTAAATAAACTACTCTATTGCAGTAGAAGTAGGGCAGGTAAGAATCTCGCGCACTGCTCATTTAAATTGTGGGACTTCACATGCCTTCTAATTATCT